TCCCATCGGGATCAGCAGTGCTACGTGCTACGTGATGGCAGGAACACAGGCACTGCTGCCTATGCACACCCTCACAGCTCCTCCAGGGCCACATCTCCCAGGAGCAGTGTCTGGTGCAGATTTAAGTGGGTAAATTTGTGGTTATACTTTGGGAAAAGCACTTTATTTCACTGAGCACAGGATGATCTCAAGGGCCCCTTCCCATCCTTGGTGATTCAGTCGTTCTCTATGGTTTAAAGCCTTCTTAATTATTAAACTACCAGCTGATTTTTGAGCTGTTCCAAGGAAACAAGCAGCTGCTATTGTTCCTTAGCAGCAGATGCACTGTAACTCTTGATTATATTAATGTAACTGTTCATAATTTGGTTCTGTTCATTATTTGGTGTTGCTATTCTCAAATGCTTTTCGTACAGCTGCTGCAGATCCCTCCATGCAAACACATACTGGAAGTGTTTAATTCCACAAAGCCTTTTAACTCAATGGGAGTAGGACTCTTTGTACGCTGGGTATTTGCCTTTTGGAAAGAGGTGAGGACTCCAAGCTGCCTAAGCAAAAGCTGATGAACTCTGTAGATTGATGAGTCGGCAAAGGAAATGGTGCTAACAAGAACAAGACCTGCTTTTCCCTTGAGATATTTGATTTCTCCTGTATTTCAGTGGTTAAAGAAGTGAGGTTTAACAGGATGCTCGGGCTCATGTGATCGTTGGGGTTTTCTTCCCTAACGCCCTCAGTACCTCCCTGCTTAGTCTGTTTGCATGATGGGGATGGGTTGAAAAGACCTTATTGTTCATCAAAGGCTTCCAGAATGCCTTTTTGTTATTGTTTCATTTAAACGTAGTGCCAGAGCCTGGGTTTCCTGGACCATCAAACAGTCTCCCTGCAGCTGACCTTTCAGTCAACTCGGACTGTGCTTTTGGATTCAATACTAATTCTGTGGCCAACTTTCAAAGGAGCCTCAACTTCTTTAATTAGAAGCCAGCAGCTTGTGTTCCCAGTCAGTCACAGGACTCCGACTGGCGATTCAGTGTAGTATGTCGATGGTTTTATGTGCATGCCATCAACTTGATGTAAAGGTAACTTTCCAGACAAAGCTTTAGCTGGTTTAGTTAATAAAGAGCACATCACAATACGGATTTACCCTCATATGCCTCAGGTTTGTGGTTTTCTGCCCATCAAGCGTGGGGTCTGACACTGTTGGCAGGAGGCTCTGCAGTGCTCAAAGGTTGTGGATGCCCTTGGAGAATGCGCTCTCTCCACATCGCGTTTACGGTCACTAACCCGGATGGCAGCATTCAGAACTGCTGGAGTGTGGCATTTCCCACAGTTCCTGCTCAACAAAGAGCTGGACACAGGGGGTGCCTGCAGGAATAACCCTATGGAGAGCTCAGGAGAAAGCCAGATATCTGGTGATACAAGTCCCAAGGAGGAGATCCTTAAATCTGATTCCTAATCAGTGCAGGAGTGTATTTGGTGTAAGTGAGAACTCATCCTGCTCACACAGTCAGAAAGGTCTGTGGATAAAAAGCTAGAAGCAGTAAGACACTGAAAGCTATGTGAAATGCACAGGGTACCACACCGTGCTAACAGCCTTGCTAGGTAGACTGAGAAAGATATGCTTTACAAATAGTGGGATATTAGGCCTGGATATGTTAAAAGAGATTATTTGCTGACTTACGGCAATAGTTGCACTGCAGAAGTCTCCAACCTAAAACTGGAGGTGAAAAGGGGGTATAAGCAATTCTCTTTAGAGGGACCTGAAACTCTGGGAGCTGCTTCTGGCACTAGTAGCCATTCTTGGTAGGAAAAACTAATGTGTGTTGCTGTTACAGCCTTGTCATCTACATGGATTAACAAGTTTTCCTCCCTAGGTATGAGGGTGAAATGAATTCTGCACAGAGAACAGCTCCACACAGGTGCCAATTCCATCACATTATGTAAATAGCCTGTGACTAATAGAGAAGCCTATGAAGTGGAATAAAAGACATCAGTCTGCATTTGCATGGAAACCAAGCAATATGCCAAAGGAGCCTTGTTTAAAATTGAGTGATAGCAGACAAGATAATTCTAAGGTTGCCATTGTGGAACATATTCAAGGGTCTTATTAGCATAGATTTGAAAGGACAATGTTGTTTTGTATGTATGCAGTCTGTGAGGTTCCACTAAGTACATCTGCAGTCCCTCTGACCCTTTGCTGTGAGCTTACTCAAAGCTTTGCTATAGATTTGCTCTCCTCTCTGAGTACTGCTCAAAACAATGAAGAAGACAATGAGATATTTATATGGTGAAGCAAAGTTCATACATCCCTAATGGCTTGGTTTGTCACTCATCTGCCTGGATGGGCCTGGGGAAAGTGGGGACTTGAGATAAAAAAGAGGTGAGTCTGTGAATGTGAAGAATGATTTTTCCCCTGAAAGCCAAATCCTATTGTATGTTCATTAAATAACATCCAGAACTCAAGTAAGAAGATATGTATATGGTGTTTCAGCAGGGGGTTGGCACCCTGCCTTTTGCCTTCTAGACAGCCACCATCCTCCCAAAGACAGGGGTGTAATAACCCACGGACACTTATTCTCTTTCCAAGTTGGTTAAGGTTGGCTCAAACGTTATTGGGATCAAAAGGACAGGAACATAATGGTATAAACTTGGTTTCTATGGGAACGTAGGCTAAAATCAAAAGGTGCTTCAGGAGGCACAGAGCAGAGCTTGGTAAATAAGAACCATGGTGTAAAATAACTCATTGGGATTGCCTTTTATGGCCACGTTTCTGTAAGTATGTAGTTACTTGCCGTAACTTTGATTTCCTTCTAGAGTCTGGGCAAGATTCAGATGCTTCCTGGATGCAAAATCCACCTCCCTGAAACTCAGTTCTGGTGTTTTTCAGGATTCTACCTGTTGTGGGGCAGTTTGGTGCAATGTTAGTTTAGAGTCATGCCAGAGGGAATTATTCTTGCCTTGCTGCAGCTGTGATGTGACTTTACAATATATGATGCAAGAAATAGAACCCGGGTATCATTTGCCACTTGCAGTGGATGAGGGTTAGGTAAAATAAAAGCATCTCATCTTCCAGGCTGGAATCTGTCCCAGTGATGTGGTACTGTTAAATCCCAGGAGTTCTGATTGCATGTGATAAAATATTGATAGCGCAGCCAAACGTGGTATGAACATTCTGGCTTAAGCAAGAAAAGTCACAAGTGTCTTTCTCCTACTTAGATACTGATGAATTCCAACACAGTAGTAGATGCTGCTTTGGAAATGGTTGTGCACCAACCGGGCTGCAGTGCAGCACACAGTGTTTGTAGATCTCTGAGCTGCTGAAGGGAAACATCCACTCTGACAAATGGCACAGATCTGCAAAATGTCCAAGGAAACAGGACTGCAAACACATCGACTGTGTTTGAGTGCAGATCATAAAGTACCAGAGTGAAAAGTCACTCTGCCCTTGAGGCATAAATTCACTTGAAACCTCCCTGGTTAATGATTTTGTCCTTTTCCACCACAAAGTATATGAGCACCGTGAGCCCAGAGAAGGTTTTTACCTGCTTTTAAGTCCTTCCCTCTTCTGGAACCAGCAAATATCTAATTGTTCACCAACCTCTGTTTATCTTACGAGTGAACATGTGAAATGCTAAACCGGTTCCCAGAGCTGTTTGTATGAGAACTGCCCTATCAATGTTATAGACAGCAAACTCTAACAGCTGGGCAGCACAGCAGTTTTATGCAGGGTAATATTTATTTGTCCATAGACAGGAGGAATCAAAGTATTTAACTCACACACAGCAACGGCACTGCTTTTGTCCACGTACATGATTACAGTCGATAATCAATTGAGTTCTCTGTTCAATGGAATTGGTTTCACAAAGAATGCCACTTTCTGAGCAGCTGACTCTAGTTACGTGTGCTTACAGTTAACCCAATCAGCCATAAAATACAAATACATGTAAGGATGTATTGATTCACAAGGATGTTTGTAAGTACATTGGTCTGGTCCATGTGACCAAACCACTCAGATGCAGTGTTTTAAAAACCCATCACTGCTAAGAGGTCGTTGGTACATTTGGATGAGATTCTGGAGCTCAGGTTCTCCATCCAGCTTTCCATAGTTAATTCCATGTTTCTGCTCCCCAGGGAAGCTCACAGTCCTCCAGCTGGTTGCATCAAGTAACAACAGTGTCATGAGCAAGGCTGTTATAATTTTGTCTGGTTGCTATACCAGTAAAATAGGGAAAAGAAAGTTACTGGCATTACCTAACACAGGGCAACAGTTGTCAGTTTAATATTAGGTTTGAGCACTCTTTGAGTATTTGATATTGCAGTTTCATACATCCCCATCACACACCATGTCGGAGTCCATAATACTTATGTATTAACTTCTTTTTGGATGTTCCTGTTCCTACCAAAGTCAATTCACTCCTATTGACTTGCCTGGAAATTAGACATCAGACTGAGTGCAAAGCCAGTGGATGTAATGAGAGAACATGCAGCGGGAAGGTGATGTCCTTGATACTCTCTTCAGTTAGCAATGATTTTTAAAGTGCAGCATTAAGGAAAGACATACTTGATAGCTGAAAGCTCAGAACAGAAATGGAGCATCAGCACTTGGGTCGGATGAGAGCGTAAGAAAGAAATGATAAGAAATCAAGGCACAAGTATAATGATTCACACTGGATTACGAAGCAGTCTCACTGCCCAGAGAGCTTCCACCTGCTAACGAAGAACCCTCTTACGCCAAGATTCAGAGTGGAAAGACTGATTGCTTCACTCTGATCAGGGTGTCAGGGGCAGACAATTGGTGCTACAAAAAGCAATGGCAGCCTTTTTTACTTTGCTGTTTAATGCCACAGAAACACACTGCCCGAGCACTTGTAGGGAGAGGCACTAAAGGGAGATCATCCATCAGCAGCCCTGTCCCTCCCATAAGGCCACAAGGGTTTCTGCTGCCCCACTGACCATATAATTTAGTCTAGTGCTCATTTTGTGGCTGCATTTAAACCACTTGGGGCCTGACACTAAACCTACTTCTCCTGTAAGGACTAAGCAAGATGGTGGAGGCTTAGGATAACTCCAAAAGCCTTCCTTACTCCGTAAACTGCTATAAACTGTTATACAGATCAAGCAGAGCAGGGAACAGTGGAGGGGTGTAAAATTAAAAGGCCAGGAGACAGTGAAAAGGCTGATGCAGTTAGGAATGCTTCAGTATTCCTGGTTTCCTGGGGTGTTGATGAAGGACGACGGCATCAGTGGCTGAAATAGAAATATTTTTAGCGGTGCTAAGGTAGCATGCCAATGACTTGGAAATTGTGGATTAAAAAAGTAAGATGTGTATACTCTTTATAATTCATTATTATTAATCTTTAGCACTCTTGGAGGTGGTTTATTAGCATTAATACCATCATAAGAGTGTGCCTATGGGAGCATAATCCTCTTTTTGCTGAACTAAAAGGCAACAACGTCCTCTAAACTCAGCGGTGACATGATCTAGACCTACAGAAAGTGGTCATCTGCACCAAAGTGCAAGACTTTGGAACCTATTGGATTATTTTAGATCTCCAGAGGGGGATTATTTAATTTCAGAGATCCCTTTGATGCGTCAGTTTGGAGATTTGAAAGGGCAATATTTTCATATACCTCTTCTGATGCTGAGCATCTGCAGTGGTGAGCTAATCCGACCAAATCCTTCTGAAAGTTCTTGTTGAGGAACCCATAGAAGATGGGATTGACACACGTTGAGATCATGGCCACGAGGTGGCATATTGTAAATGCTAGATTATGATTACAGCTCATTAGTGCCTCGTAGTTCCAGTCAAAAACAACATTGAACACATTGAGAGGCAACCAGCAAGCTGCAAAAGTCGCAACAATTGATATCAACATCACGTTAATCCTTTTGTTTTCACTCAGTCTGTTCTCATTCTCTCTCATCCTGTCTATTTTCCCGTGTCTCCTTCGAAGACATACAAATATCCTGAGATAGCAGATAAATATAAACCCCAGGGGGAAGCAGTACTGGAAAACCAGCAGACTAGTGGTAAAAATGAGTCTTTCTGTAACTGATGGCCATGCTTCAATACAAGCAACTTTGTTCTTGTAGAAATCACTATGGAAAGACAAGTGTTTGAAGGGTTCATCAGTTAATTGGTGAAATACTAAAAAAGGAATGGATATTACAAGGGAAAACCCCCAGATGAAAAGAATTCCCCAGTAAGCATGTGAAACATTAGGCTTCCAGCCACGGGGGTTCACAATTAACTGATATCTCTCAATAGCAATCAGTACAAGTGAGAAAATGGAGACTGTGACAGATACACTTTGTATGAAGGAACTTATTTTACACATAGCTTCCCCAAATATCCAGTAGTCCATTAAGGTATATGCAACTGTGACAGGAATACACATGATACAGATCAAGACATCTGATAAAGAGAGGTTAGCAATCAAAATATTGGTGACGTTTTGAGCTTCTTTCCTTCTTTTTATTATAACAATCAGGCAAAGATTTCCAAAAAGCCCCACTATTGTAACTAATGTGTAGGCTGTAATAAGCAAGGATTCTGCAAGGAAGGAGGGCTGGCATGTATCAAAATTCAAGAACTGAGAATAGCTGATGTTGGAGATGGTCTGATTAGCCAGAATCTTGCTGGGGTCCTGAATGGCTTTATCCATCATGAAGCATTTCCCGTCCTGTGAACAAAACCTAGTATTATTTAGAATGTACTTTGTATGAAGCTTTCCAAGGCGATGATTAACGTGTCTCTTGTTGCAGTTGATGCCCTTTTCTTGTTAGTTAGTTTAGTTTAGTTAGTTTTCAGCAAATCTAATTACAGCACTGGAGAAGCCAGTGGTTGGGTATTAGTGGTTTTGTGCATATAGATGAGTGGAGGTTGATGCAGGTTCTGCACTGACAGTGTTACTGATTGTGACATATAGAAACAGCAATGATAGCTCTGATTAAACTTGTGTGAACATTTTGATACAAATCCTCTTTTACAACTGTCGACAAACTTTGCTTTTCAAAAGACAATATTTGAAGATCTGTGTCAGCCAAAGACTTAGCAAGGTTTAAGGAATTCCAATGAGGATAATCTGTTGCTTTTCCATTATCAAGAAAGAAGAATTGGGTTCTGCCATCATGTTGCTGGCTTAGGCATCACACTTATATTGTCTCTAGAACTAGAAAGTGATGTGAGCTAAAATCCCAACTCCCTCTGGCTTAATCAAAATGACGTCTGATTTAGCTTATGGGATATTCAACACCCCAATGAATTACATATTTAAAGGAGTCTCCTGTTCTGCTTGTGTATTACAGGTAGTATGTCCTCTTTCCTCAATGTAATCTGAGAAACATGTAAAGCAAACAGGTATCACATCAGCTACACACACAATTATTGCCATATCAGTAGCTGCCAAAGGCTGTCTCATTTCCCTGCACACCATTCACTGTTGTACAAGTTTGACATATGAGACCCCCAACATTTCCTGCAAGGTGTACTCAGGAGACACACGGTTGATTCCTCTTTCAGTTCACACTTGAACATGTGTCAAGCAACAATTCTGATATTAGTACAATTCTGTTGTTATGAAACTACTATTAATGGGAAGAATTAGGTTCAGCAGAGTATCTCAGTGGGTTTCAATTTCTCACTGAGGAAAGAAGTTACTCTTAAATGAAAGGCTCACCAGCTTTCTGGCCAGAAAGAGGTTGTTTCCAACCTGGGAAAGGAAAAAAGAAGGGTGTAAAGCATTACTTTTGAAATTGAAACAAGGGATAAGTATGTTCTATACATCCGCCTTTCAAAACTCAACTGTAACTCACCTTAATTCCTTTTTGAAGTAGGAATTACTGGGAAACTAGCTGGCAGGAGCTCATTCTTCACCCCTAGTAATTAATAAATGCCATAGTGTTGAGAGCCTGTGGAGAAAGGAGGAGGAAGAAGCAATAGGAATGCAATAGGAATGCACAAAAAGAAGGGGTAGGTGGATGTTTTATTATTACTAGAAATAATCTGCTTAGGTGTAGAAGATTTATCAACCTTTTAATAGAAATTATTAATTATTTCTAATTATTTTATCTAATTAATTTAATATATTATTAAATTAATCTATTGATTTTAATAGATTAATAGATCAGGGGACTGAAGCACCTCCCATATGAAGATAGGCTGAGGAAGTTGGGGCTGTTCAACCTGGAGAAGAGAAGGCTGCGTGGAGACCTCATAGCAGCCTTCCAGTATCTGAAGGGGGCCTATAGGGATGCTGGGGAGGGACTCCTCATTAGGGACTGTAGTGACAGGACAAGGGGTAACGGGTTAAAACTGAAACAGGGGAAGTTTAGATTGGATATAAGGAGGAAATTCTTTCCTGTGAGGGTGGTGAGGCACTGGAATGGGTTGCCCAGGGAGGCTGTGAATGCTCCATCCCTGGCAGTGTTCAAGGCCAGGTTGGACGAAGGCTTGGGTGAGATGGTTTAGTGTGAGGTGTCCCTGCCCATGGCAGGGGGGTTGGAACTTGATGATCTCAAGGTCCTTTCCAACCCAAACTATTCTGTGATTCTATGATTCTGTGATTAATTAATAGTAATTAAATTCCTTATTTAATCACTAAGGAATAAAAGATGTTTGGTTGCTTGCATGAGGTTAAACACCAAATCCAGGGTTAAACTGGCAACTATGATTCTCTAACCATTTACCCCCAGGCATTGAAAGAATATTCCAGCCAGAGTTATATCCTGGACTGCTTTATCCTGATACTTTTGCAAAAGAAGTATCCAAACCAACACAAGCAACTTTGGAGCATCTATTACCACTCTCATTCTGATTGAAATATACTTTTTAAGTAGAGTAGTCATGTTGAGGTGAGAAGTGGCTGTAGATTTACATGTGGTTTACATGTGGACCTGATGTTCCCTGATGTGACTTTGTGGTCAGGGGCAAACATTAAGCCTAAGTCCCCCTAAATAACCCACTCATCATGGCCACAGCTATATTGAGGGCATGGCACAAAACCTGTACAGACATGCTGCAAAAGCTGTTGAAGTCCAGTGCCTTAGAGAAACTTTGTAGTCCCTTGCAGGTGCCCCTGCTCCAATAGGACAAGCACAAGAGCTATGTACCCTACAGCATGTCCACCAGCTTGCAAAACCTCTCCTCCTAATGAATCCGTAAGAAATGAAAGGGACTCTGAAGCCAGCACAGTCACAGCCTGGAGAAACCAATGCTGTGGCTGGGCAACAGCATCTTCAGGTGATACTTATCCTATAATCCACTTTTCCCTGGAGCAGCACTAATTGCCTGGCTGGACCTATCAGCAGACAGAAGGATGCATGTGCTGGAAGGATAAGAGGTCGACTAGTGGTAAATGTCACCCTGATGAGCTTTACAGCCACTTCAGATGTGTGAGGGTCTAAAATCTGGCTGCTTTATCCCAAGGGAGATCTTTCTTTTTGGTATTCACCTGACTTGCACAGATCTGAGCCCTGCCCTTTGACGAAAGATCAGGTGTCAGCAGGGGACCTGGCTTGGAAGCAAGACAGCTTCAAAGACAAGCTCTGCTCTTCCCTGCTTTCTATGAGAGCAGGAGAAGCTGTGGGGACCCAAAGGACACGAGGCTGAGCCAGGTTTGTAATATTTTATGCACTATTTGCTATGCCTGCTTATTTATCTCTGGTTGCATAAGACGGTTTGATGGGAAGTGCTGAGTGTCCTCTCCCAATAACTCAGTGTGGGTGTGGGGCTTCTTTGGCACTTTCCATCGTTAGGGAAATGGTAGGTAGAGCTGCCTTCTGATCAGTTCAACCAGTGGATCAGCTTTAGGCACACTCATCATCTACACTGTCTCAGCAAAAAGCTCAATTTCATGTCACTGTTTGGTTTGTGCTGTGAGCTAAAAGTGTAGCTTTAGTACATGTCATCCTGCAAGGCAATTTAAACATTTCTTTGGTAATAAAACTATAACACTTGTCCTGTTTAAAAATCTGGAGTATTCACAGCATTAGGTAAATAAGTTACACAAGTACTTACTGCAGCATGATGAACTATATTGTAATACATACTGGCATTGGTTTAAGCTATTAAATATTAGTGGAATCAGTATCCTTGAACCACAACTACAGCTGATATCAGAGCCGGATTGTTTAATAAGAGAACCAATTACTTCCATCCATAATCCATGCATTTGGATAAAGATTCCTTACTATACTAAGAGTATATGATGAGGAAATGATAAAATTAACCTACTTGTTTCATTCCTCTGGATGCAGAAACATTACTGAAACATGCATAAGCAAAAGGAAGTTAAAAACAGTGTCTAAAATTCAAATGAGTTTTTAAAGTCTTTCTTTGCTAAGTATTTCCTTACCTATGTTAAAGATGCATAGCCCCATCCCTTCAGAGTGGCCAGTGAATATTTCAGTTGCAAACATCATCTGTTTATTCAGTTCCAAAGTGGTGCACAGATAAAATGTGGAGGAGATTTTCTATTCAGTTTTAAATACAGGATGTACAGACTACGACAATCCTTCAAAAGCTGTATTTCAGTAACTTTTGCCACAGTTGCATGGATTTTCTGACTTCTTACCTGATGCAAAATTCAAGTCAAATCCACACTGCCTTTAACAATTGATCTTTTCCCGTTTTGAGTTGATTACCAAGCCAGCACACACATCTCCTTTGTGCTTGAAAGAATCTGAAGCAAAGCCATCTGCTGCTAAAGCAATACTTAAACTCTCCTTTCTTCTCTTCCTGAAACAATCCACACTTCCACTATTTCCAGCTGCGACTGAATCCACCGGTCTGTTGGGAGGCTGCTGAGGAATAAACCAGGCTCTGGAATCCAGGAAGAGGCGAACAGCAATGAGCAGGGAGGAGAAAGGACCAGGAGTCACGGGGATGGATTTTCCTCCACCGTGTGGCTTCCCTCCACCCTGTCAAACACCTTATCTTGCAATTTCATTTTCAATTATCTTATCTGCTCCGCAGTGCAAATGTTTTCCCTGTGCTGGATTTCATACGTAAACATCTGCAGATGGCTTATTGCTTTCTTAACTGAGGGAGATAGGAAAACACAGTAAGCTGCCTGGAAAGGCATAATAAATGTATTATTTGCTCTATTGCAATTAAGATAAACGTATTTTCATTATAAATTGCTATTTTAGCTTATACTCCAGAGATATAAAAATCTTCCTGAAAAGCGAAGCATTGAATATTACACTAGCACATACTGAAAAGGGGCTTTATTATTATCAGTTTTTCCAGTAAAAGCCCAGTACAGCTTTTATAGTCCCTTGTTTATAAAAAGCAGCATTTAACATTTCCTTATTAAATATTTAGAGTGAATGTTTATGGGACAGGAAAGGAACTGTTTTATTCTTAGGATGTGCTATTTGGTACATTGCGTTTAAACTTTTGAATTCCTACCTGGGTCCTCTTAACCCCCAGTATCTCAGTCTCATATGAACCACCCTGTGGCTCTCCAGTACTAGGAAAGGTAGAAAATAGTCCAGAGTTAGAATGTGTTTGTGTAGGACAGACTCAGGAAAACTAGATGAGAATTCCCTATTAAATTAGAGAAGTAGGAACCTGCAGACAAAGCGTTTGAGAGTACTTGAGTCTGCCTCACTGGGTCTTGGGTGTTTTTTGATGGGATGATTTTGAAAAGCAGTAGGATTTGGGGGATGAATGAGACTGATGCTGTATCTAAAGTGCAGGTAAGAGCTTATTACCCCAAAATATTGTTAGTTGTCATGCTATTGTATTTGTAGAATATAGAGGTGGAGGGAGCCTCTGAGATCAGATGAACCTCCCGCTTCTAGGATGTTTGTATCTATTCATGCTGTGTTTGTCTAAAGTGTTTTTAAACATCTGTGGTAATCTGAAATTAGGTATTCAAGTGCCTGATTTAAATGTTAGGAAGACATTGCCCCTAAAATTTCCTTTGCTTTAGGCCATTGCTTTATATTCAGAAAATCTAACCAAAATGCTACAATCCAGCAATGTGAATGGACTTTCCTAATACATTTCTAGCACTTGCTGGTTTTGATTATGTCAAAAATACTGGAACAACAAAGCTTTTCCAATGTGCTTCAGAATTTCTGCTTCTGGTTGCAGTGTAACCCAGGAAGTTAATCAGGACCTAAACGTGCAACATCTTAGGTACACATCAGAACCAGCCATAAAAATGTGTTATCTGTTTATAAAGGAAATAAATTGGGAAAATTAGAAGATGTTCTGATTCTATTTATAAATGTCAAACAAAGGGCAGGCTGTTTATTTATAGACTTCTGTTTCTAATATAACACTGCATGCAGTCCTCCTTCTGTGGGAAGACTGAAGTGTTTAACATGTGAACCCCTTGGTTTTACAGGCATGTCAATGTGCTGCGTTCTGTGGCTTTAATTCTGTTGTAACCTGGTGTGAATTAGGCCACATCTGACATCAGAGGCTTGTGGGTGTAGCTGCTCTTGGTCTGTTTATGCCTGATGTCAAAGGTATGTATGCAAAGTGGAATCTATAGCCAGGTAGGAAGGGATCAGGGTATATTGTTTTCAGGTAAATGCTGTAGTGCCTGTTTGTAAAACAGGCTGATGGCCAGCAGAATTGTGTTTGCTTTATATAAATGATGAGGTTATTTCTAAATTGCTCAGTATTAAATGATGAAAAAATAGCCTTTATCAGTAGACTCTGATAACCGACTGGGAGGCAGGACTGCAGCTGCAATGGGAAGCAAACTTTATACGTAACCTGATAACAAAAAGTTAAAATATGTTGCAGATAAGGCTGCAATTGGCTTGGCAATGTCCAGTGTAAATTTAGAAACTCTGCCTTTGTGGGATTTCAGTAGTTCAGAGATGGCTCGACCACAGGAAATGGTAGCAGTTGTGGTATGATTTTTTAAGAGTTTTATTAGGGATTTCTATCGCAGTTTGCAAAGCAAACAAGTGAATAGGAAACCTCAAAACAGTGTGCTGATTGTCGCTATACTGAATGCCAATCATGAAATTGATTATCACCTTAGCACAATCATTGCAATAAAAGCCTGATCCTAAAAGCTTGCCAGGCATGATATTCATATAGAAATCAATTGGAACATCTTTTACAAGCATCTGGTTGTACAGCAGCTCGAGGCATGACCTCTGCTTGTGTAAATGTTCCCAAGCCAGTTTTAAACCAGGTAGCAATTAACCGTTACAAGCACAGAGCTCGGGGCACTATCATCTAAACCAGCCAGCTGATAGTAAACAGGGTTCACATCTCATCTTGGTTGCAGTGGAGGTGTGCTATCACTCTGGCTTCCAGGCTCCGGCATACAGACTGTGGGCAGTGTGGAAAGTCAGGGTAAGTGATGGTGTACTTTAAGTTTGTAACTTTTGTTGTGTTGGCAGCAGCCTGTTGGTGAAAAAATTCTCTAAGATGCAAGTCCTTTTGCTTTGGCATTTACATGATTCCTTGCTGAGCAGGAATCGTTGCTGATGGCTGGCTACTCTTGGCACAGCTCCCTTCTTCAGAAAGCAAGGTTTAGTAGAGATGTATACATATGATTTCTCAGCTTCCTAGGTGTAAGAGTTCTTTAATAGCAGTTTGGCTAAGAGCTGGCTCAGTGACCCTTAACATCTGTGAAGGATCTGGAATAGTTCTTCCTCATAACTACTATTCTTTATAGCACTTCAAAGAGGCACAGAGAAAGAAGCAAGAATAATTGGGAATCTCTTACGTTAGTGTCAGATGTGCTAGATGGTGTCAATAAAGTAAGATAATATGTTATGATGGAGGAAAACCACATCCCTTTCTCACATTCCTGTTTGATGGAGAGATCAACTCCCTATTAAGTGTCTTCAGTAAATGGGTTATAATTTGACCAAACTAGCAATATCTGAATGCCAGCTATGTACACACAGTAAATTTTTCTCCAAAGATCACATGGATGAAGAAGGATTGATATCTGTGTGTAAGTGGGTGCACTGCTCCATAATTTGGAAGTTTTTTTCCTAATTGGAAAAGATAACAAAAATCACTTGGTTTCACTACCTGGAGCTTAATTTTCACTCCATGGTATTGCATAGCTCTAAAGAACAGCTTTGCAATATCCTTAAGGCTTTATTCTGGTCCATATATCTCAATTTAGGTCATTCCTACAATGAAAAGTCAACTGTTTGAAAATGTGCTTTAACTTTAAATGAGTTACTTATAACAGCATATTCATTTAAAACATTATATTATGCTATGAGATTTCAGCTGGCACACAGTTGAGATGAAGATTGATACACTCTGGCTGGAAGGTTAGCATCTTTATTTCTGGAGTCAGCCAAGTTACTTTTCTTACTGAAAACTAGATAAGATGTGAGTAATTGTAATAGGAGTGTGACAGCATTAATTCATATTGTATAATAGTTTCCACTGTCCAAACCCTGATTCAATCCTTTGTAGCTCTCTAGAACTTCTCCAGCTGATGTTTCCCAGGAGTGATCTCTGCCAAAGAATGAATTATTTCAATAGCTCATAGATTTTGGAGAAATATGATAATTTGTATCTCTTATTTTTTATTCTACAGTCTTTTTCCAACAACACAGTGAGCACCAAACCCTGCTCTTCTCATGACACAGCATCTTTCACTGTCCTAATGGTTAGTGAAGGAATATTTAACTAATCAAAAGGGTTTTCCTGTTAATCTCAGTCTGTTTCAATTTCCCTTCGTGTTTCAAACTGTAATGACAGTTTTGATTTTCTGAATGAAAAATATGAATTCTAGATTGCTGTTTTGTATCTAGAAAGCCTGGCTTTTATGCACCTAGTTCTAAAACTTCTTGAATAGCAGGGATATCTTACAGCTAGTTTCAGGTACTTCATAGCATAACTCTTCTTGCTGTTTGCAAACAAAGCTAAATATCAGTCATGCAGCAGCACCACAAAAAAAAACCAAAACAAACAGCCCACCCTACAGAGGCTCTGTGGAACAAAAAATAGATGGGACCTAGGAATAAACAAGGGAAAAAAAGCAACTAGATTTTAAGTGGAAAATATATAAAGCAAGATTTGCAGATGAAAAAATACCAGAGCATGGCTGAGATCATTGCTGGCTCCAGGTCTTCCTTTGGCAAAACTTATGATCCTGGTCTGCCTTGGACTAAGATACAGTGAAAGATGTACCCTCTCACATCTGTCCCAGCATTGTGTGCCCCTTTGATCCTTTACAAGAAGCTTGACTTTTGAGATGCAGTTTTGCTGTCTTACTTTCATCCTATCACTGCAAATTATGACCTGATCTTATATGAACTTTTAGGGAAGAGAAGAAAGGAAATCATCAATTATGACAGAAAAGTGAAGAGATGAAAGAGGAAAAGAGAAATTGAGCTTCAGAGAGGAGAGGAGAGAGGCAGGATTTAAGGGAAAACCGTACCGTAAATCCAAAGAAAGAGATGTGAATTCAGTTCTCTGATGTCTTTCTTCTTCACCCTTCACAAAGGTGTGCTCCTCTCTTTCAGCACACTCCCCCTACAAAGGGCTCAGGGAAGGCTTTGTTCAGTAAGATGATCTTTTGAAACTACTTACTGAGAAATAGCTCCTGTGAGTTGTTCTGTAGTTACTCTTTTTCCTGCAGAATATCTTACATTGTATTAAGCAAATAAAAGAAAGGGGTAATGGTTTATTCCTCATCTGAATTTGCACTAGGTAGAAATCTTTATCCTGAAGAGTCTCATATTCAAACTTTAGGTAGCAAAGGACTATCTAGTTTCCTCTCAGTGCATGTTCAATCTTTTTCAATTAAAAGCCTCTCCCAGCCAGTGCTAATTCATGATAGCCTCAAAAGTGAGATCACGGGTTGGTGTTTATGTGGATACAAGTGCAATCGGCAGAACAGAGAGAAAGATAAACCTATTGCCAAAAAAGCAAGAGCTCTCTCAAGGATTGTTTTATCTCTTTTAAGTTCTTCAGACTTTTAGCTAAAGCCAGGGGCCAGGATGGGGAAGTCGGTGGTGCTGCTGCATGTTTTATTGAATATGTCTTCCTATGAATTGCAAAATCACTCTCTGCCTGAGGGGATGATTTAGGTAGGAGGGAGGCTTCTACAAGTCTAGTAATAGCTGTTTGAAATGATGAGATTAAAAATCCTTGCCTGAAATTGTGTGGATCTCGGAGTGATCTGGATAATTATGGTTGAATCTGCTCTATTTCCAGCCATTTCCACCTGTGTATATTTAGAAAAATCAAGATGAAATCTATATCAATGATAATGTTATTACAGACTGTTGAAAGGTAAAACCAGACCTAAATCTAGAGCATTGCACTATACTAACAAAACATACAAGAAGTCCAGTTGATAAACTTTAATTGTTTTGAAAGAGTGAGTCAATACTTGATTATGGAAGCCAGCCACACTGATATAGAGTAGATTAGAGAGGTTGAAGCAAATTAAAAGCATATGACTTTGTGTTTATACAAGGGTTTAGGTAATTAAAATATTACTTCCTTAATAATTGATTTTGTATCAGCTTTTACTAAACAGTATATGATATAACAGGAAAGGGACAGTATATGATATCCCCTGGAAAGGGACTGTTCAGCTGCCTGTTTTATGATCTCTTGAGCAGTAATGCCCTCCTGTGGACTCTAGGTAGTATGATTTCTGCTGGAATAATTGGAATATTTTATGCATAAAAATGATGTGGGTTTCCTCCCAATACTCCAACGCCAACTAAGGTATCCCTAGAAGCCATTTAACACCATGTATTATTTGGCCAGAGCCTCTTATTTGAGAAACACATTTTCTTTAGGTGATCACACAGGTGGAGCTTTTACCTGTGTTAGAAACTTAAACTGCTTATACAATGAGTTTTTATTCTGTAGGTTGCTATCACAATGGAAACAATATAATGCTGTGACTGCCCTGTCAGGAGGGAAAGGCATGTATTTCCTTTTCAATGGTGTGTGCCTGAGATATTTTAAATACATATTATGAATTTACTCGTATGTAGTTAAAAGTAGATTGAATATGTGGTGGAGAAACTGCTGTAGCTGTTGGAGTGTTGTCTGTTTTAGCAGACTTGTCACATCCCACATGCCCAGTGTGAGACTCATTCTTTGGTTCTGCACTCACGCTGCAGTACCCGTTATAGCCCACTCTTGCAGCGGCTCACGCAGCTGTAGAGGGAAAAGGCACATTTCAGGAGCACGTAAAGGCACATAGTTCATAGAAACGTGTACAACAACGACCTGGCATGCTGACTGGGTGAATGAATCCAACAGAAACTGGAGAGGATTGGTTGGAGGCTCTGTGGTGGCTCAGGTGAGCTGCTATGAAGGTCTGTGGGATATATGCAGGAGAAACTCCTGTTTAGCTGTCTGGGAAGCCCTGCATTGCTGAAGCCTGGTGGTATGTGCCAGGGCACATGTACATGTGCAGTGAGCTTGGCCCTTTGAGTGTGGGGACTGAACGCGATTTTCAGTGAGTACATGAACTACATGAGGTCACTTACACGGTAGCTGGGAAGGGGTAGTGGACAGGAGGACACCAGGTCAAGCAGACCTTGGCTGTTCTGTAGAATCAGAGGAGACATTTCTATCTGCAAGACATGGGTATATGTATTTTAGAGGTGTTTTCCTTTCATTAAATCAACCAGTCAGAGCTCAAACAGAAAAGGGAGTAGTTGGGCTATGTTTTATACTTTTATTGTGCCAGTGTTTTGCTCACATCTTTAAGACCCTCATCTTCTGCTGAAAGTAGTGACTTTCTTTGATCTCTTCCCTGCCCTACTTGTCTGTCTTGCATTCAGGGAGAGAAAGTGAGTCATAAAGAAGTGTTCTGTTCTCTCTGCTACCCACTGAGGCCAGAATTAGCTCCTCTTAATGTTTCTTCCTTTTCGCTGTAAATTATTAAGTGTCTGTAAAACTCTCATGGGTTATTTTCACTATGAAACAGATATTAATTTATCTTGGGAAGGGCCACACCGTTTTTTACAATAAATGGCAGGCAAAATGTAGTTTTGTATTTCCTGTAATTGTGTGGAGCTTGCAGGTGGCCTCTGGTAGGGAGGTCTTTGGGTCCTTTTTAATAGAGTGGGATTTGTTTGTTTTAAACCCACAAATATTCCAGTGCCATTATGGACATATTATCTTCTCTAAAAGTAGATAAAATTATCATGTCCACGCATGGAGATAAATGGATCTAAACACATGACATCTTTCCCTGTAAGTGGCTGTCACACACAGACATTTAATATTCTTGTCATATTAATAAGTTACTCTTAATACCTGGCTATAAAAGAATTCAATATAAGAAAAATCAGATTACTCTACTGCAAGCATTAATCCTAGTGGTTAATGGTAATCACAGCTTCTTAGCCTGAAGCATGAAAGCTTGGCCAGCTGATAGAAATGAGTACAGATTCCACCAGCAGTGTTAATCTCTGGTATTGACACCACCTGAAGAGGAATAAAGAAGAATTTTTGTGCTGAAATGTTCAGTCTCTCTGGACTTCACCTGGGGCTGTAGTTAACTACCCTTGCAGTGCAGCCAACGTTACGCTTGTGTCTGTGTCTGTGAGTCTCTAAGGGTGCCTTTCCACAGGAGATGATCTGATCCATGGGGGTGTTGCAGTTTTGCTTCCTTTCCATTCTGCCAGCACCAGCACTCGTGGGATCATGCAAAAAGCTGCTGCAGAAAGCTGAGGCAGCTGAACCTGAGCCCTTCTTCGTGATAAAGTATTTTTGGCTGTCTCGGTTCCCTGAAGTGCATCCCTGTGTGATGCACACATCCCTGCTTGTGAAGCACAAGCATCAGGGCTGGCACACGGGAGAAGGGCGGCAATGCCAGCACAGTCAGTTCAGGCAACTGTGGAGCTACATCCCGAAACAAATCCATAACAATCGGGTCGGAAGGGTCAGAATATTCAGTCCAGGGGGTCTGACAATCATCTTTTATTAACCCATTCCCCAAACCCTCTGAACCTTGAACACTGCCAGGGATGGGGCAGCCACAGCTCCTCTGGTCACCCTGTGCCAGCGCCTCAGCACCCTCACAGGGAAGAGCTTCTGCCTAAGAGCTCATCTCAGTCTCCCCTCTGGCAGGTTGAAGCCGTTCCCCTTGGCCTGTCCCTACAGGCCCTTGTTCAAAGCCCACCCCCAATGTATTTGATTATGTGGTTATCTTTTCAAACAGTGTCTAAATAGAAACTTATCTCATCGTGGCCATAATGAACAAAGGAAGAAGCTACCTGAGGAGGCTGTGAAATTGCCTTCGCTGAGGGGTTTAGAAGCAGGTTAGACAATGCCCTGTGACGAGGACTCCGTTAACATGAGCTTCAGGCACCATGTGGTGCAGGAGCCCCTTCAAGGAAAGAAAAAATCACCACAAAAACGTTCTTTTCTCCTAGATAATTTCCAACATAAACCTCAGCGGGTGTAAGACCAAAACAAATCCTGTTTCTGGGGGAGGAAAAACAATCACTGTGATGAAAATGGTGCCGCGGTCTTCAAGCTCTGCTTAAGGTACTATTAAAGTGTATACATGTAAAAGGAAATGCATTTCACTACTAGTCACATTAGGAGGTATTTAGAGAAAATACCTCATTTTTGGAGCTATGGAGAGATTTAAGGGTGAGAGGAGGAGGCAGTGCTGGGGTTGGAAACAGTAGCAGGGAAAGCCAAAGAAGCTGCCTGAGGCAACAGACTGGGTGCTGAGGGATTGAGCCAGCTTGTGCCCAGGCAGCCAGGACCGCCAGCGGCATCCTGGTGTGTACCAGCACCAGTGCGGCAGCAGGGTCAGGGCAGGGATGGTGCCCCTGTGCTGGGCACTGGTGAGGCTGCACCTTGAATCCTGTGCTCAGTTCTGGGCCCCTCACTGCGAGATAGACTTTGAGGTGCTGGAGCGGGGCCAGAGAAGGGAATGGAGCTGGTGCAGGGCCTGGAGCACAAGTGTGATGGGGAAGGGCTGAGGGAGCTGGGGGTTCAGTCTGGGGAAGAGAAGGCTTAGGGGGAACCTGATCGCTCCCTGCAACTGCCTGAGAGGAGGATGGAGCCAGGAGGGGTCAATCTCTGCTCCCAAGGAACAACTGAGTGGTAGAACGAGAGGAAATGGACCTCAAGCTGCATCAGGGCAGGGTTAGACTGGAAATTAGGCAGTTTCTTCAGTGAAGGACAGCACTGAAAACCATGTGGATGTGGTGCTTAGTGGCACTGGTTAGTGGTGGACTTGATACCTTGAAGGTCTTTTCTGACCGCATTGATTCTATGTTGGAAAGCGGGACACGGGCACAAATGAGTGAAGAGCGGCCAACCAACGCTAGGAGGGAGCAGACAGCAGCTGGACAAAACCGGGTGGATAAAACCCCCGACGAGAGGCGTCGCTGCCCGTCAGGAACGTACGGCCCTGGGATGCCGCGCTGCTGGGGAAGGTGCGAGGCAGGGGCGGAGAAGGGAACGCGGCCGGCAGGGGCGGAGAAGGGAACGCGGCCATGAGGTAAGAACAGCGCTGGGGCCGGGACCGGGGCAGCGCTGTAACGCCGTTCCGTGAGGCGGCGGGTAACGGCCAGCGTTTCAAACGGCAAGAGTTTCAAACGGCCAGCGCTTCAAACGGCCAGCGTTTCAAACGGCCAGCGTTTCAAACGCTCCCGCGCTAGCCGCCCGCGGACCACCCCCCCCCCCCAACAACCACCCGCTGGGCGGGGCCGCGGGGGAGAAAAGCGCGCGGCGGAGCCGGAGCGCGCCCATTGGCTGACGTCCGCGGGCAGGACGCGCTGGCGCAGCCCCCGCCCCGCCCCTCCTTTCGGCTCGCACAGGAGGTACCGGCCGCCACATCGCGATCCTATTGGCTGCCCGCCTCGTCCGTCACGGTCCAACCCCCGGGCTTTTTGCCGACGCGCGGCGGAGGTCGCGCCCTCTGATTAGCGGTCGAGCTCGTCGATCGCTGCCGAAGGCCCCGCCCCTGAAAGGTGAGTGGAGGACGGCTCCGGCTGCGCGCTCTGATTGGCTGTGCGGGCGCGGGGGGCGTGCGCGGCGGCAGCCGGGTGGGCGGGGCTCCCAGCGGCCCCTTTGTGTGGGCACCAGTGGCCGGCCGAGCTGTGGAGGAGCAGCCGCCGCCATTTTGTGCGTGTCTGTGTTTTGCCCCCTCCCCACCCCCCGTCCCGGAGGAGCGGCGGCAGCCGGGACGCCCCTGTCTCTTCTGCTGGTCAGGTGAGGCGAAGCGAAGGCGTTGGAGCCAGGCGGAGGGAGTCATCGCCGGCGGCTGCCGCAGCCGTGAGGTAGCGCCGTTTGCAGTAAGCGAGGGGGACGAAGCGGCAAGACGGAGAAGGGGGGGAAAAAACCGTCAGAGCTGCCCCCCGACAGGAGGAGGAGTCTCGGCGCCAGGCCCAGGCGCAGCCCCGGCACCGGCGGCAGCATGGAGAACTCGCAGCTATGCAAGCTGTTCATTGGCGGCCTCAACGTGCAGACCACGGAGGCCGGGCTGCGGGAGCACTTCGCGGCCTACGGCACCCTCACCGACTGCGTGGTCGTGCTCAACCCGCAGACCAAGCGCTCCCGCTGCTTCGGCTTCGTCACCTACTCGGCGGTAGAGGAGGCCGATGCCGCCATGGCCGCGTCGCCCCACGCGGTGGACGGGAACGCGGTGGAGCTGAAGCGGGCCGTGTCCCGGGAGGACTCGGCCAAACCGGGGGCTCACGCTAAGGTGAAGAAGCTCTTTGTGGGCGGCCTCAAAGGGGACGTAGGCGAAGGGGACCTGGTGCAGCATTTCAGCCAGTTCGGCCCGGTGGAGAAGGCGGAGATTATCGCCGACAAACAGAGCGGGAAAAAGCGCGGCTTCGGCTTCGTCTATTTCCAGAACCACGATGCCGCCGACAAGGCGGCCGTGGTCAAGTTCCACCCGATCCAGGGCCACCGAGTGGAGGTGAAGAAGGCTGTGCCCAAGGAGGACATCCAGTCGGGCGGGGGAGGCGGCGGTTCTAGGCCTTCCCGGGGCGGCAGAGGCGGAGGAAGGGGCCGGGGCGGCGGCGGATCCGGCAACCGGGATCACAACGGTCTTTCCAAAGGCGGCGGCGGTTACAATAGCTACGGCGGTTACGGTGGAGGAGGAGGTGGCGGCGGTGGCGGTTACGGCTCCTATGGCAGCGGTTCCTACGGCGGTGGCGGCGGAGGGGGAGGCGGCGACTACGGCAACGGGTACGGCGGGTTCGGCAGCTACAGCCAGCATCAGTCCTCCTACGGCCCCATGAAGAGCGGCGGAGGAGGTGGAGGAGGGGGCGGCAGCTGGGGGGGCCGCAGTAACAGTGGACCGTACAGAGGAGGCTATGGTGGGGGAGGCTACGGGGGCGGCTCTTTCTGAGCTGGAGCGCCTATACCCATTGGGGGTGGCGTGGAAAGCCTTCCCTTTGATACGGGGCAGCTTCTAAATGGTTTCTCCCCTCGTTCGCCGAAGGGCATCTCCTTTTAAATGTCTCCCAGCTGTGGGAGCAGCTCCTAAATGCCCCCTGAGGGTCGCCTCTGCTGCCTGTGCCACTTCTTTCTCTCTGAAGATGGACTGGGCCACACATACACATACTTTGTGTTACAGTCATTGATGGACTCTATTTTTTTATTATTACTTGGACCTTGGTCGTTTTTATACTAGCAACGAAAAATGTCTTGTTTTAATTTGTTTTGGTTTTTTTTTTGGGATGGGGGGGGGGACGTACCGGGTGGGAGTTGTTTTGTTGATCTGGAGTAAAAACTGGGAAGGGTTATGGGGGAATTTCCTTTGTTATAAGGACTCGATACCTGGCTCCTACATTTTTTTCTACAAAACCTACTCGGATCCCATGACTGAAATTAACATTTCTGTAAAGGAGGAAAAAAAAAATCGTTTTTACGTTTTTTATTTTTTAAATAAATCACTGTGTTCATTGACCTTTACATGTCTAATTATTTTTCCTAGGATCCATTCCGTACGGTTTGAAGGCTTTTGTAGGTTTGAAGCAAGCGTTCCTCTGATTTCAAAGCTCTGTGTACCTAGAGTAAATATTTTCTTGCCAGTAAAGGTCCTAACTGACTTTTTTGCTACCCCCTGCTAGTGGATTCATTGGCTTTCAGGCGCTCGACAGAGAAATTTTTGAAGTACTAACCCGTGGATGTCCGTTTTTAAATCCCTTGTTCTCCCCCCGTTTGTGTGCATCCACCATCTTGTACTGGGCGGTTTGACGTGCTGACATGGTTGGTCAAGTTTTTCTATAGGACTTTTTTCCATCAACGTATGTACTGTGTAGTTTTGAAGAAATAGTTTGTGTTAAGCATGTGCTTCATTCATATGAAATGTTCCGAATTTCCTATTGCTTAGTTTCAGGTCCTCTTCTCGGTTTGTCTGTGTATGATTCCTTCCAGGAAAGGGTCGACATTTATCCCGTCTTAAACGCGTACTTGTTTTCATAGTACCGGGTTAACAGACTTTTCACTCTGAACTATTGTCCTTCGTTAAAGTTCCCCAGGAATCTTTCGCAGCACCATCTACCGACAGGATGGCAGCCCCCTTGCTGCAGGCTTCGTTACAGCAGGAGGAAAAGTGGTTTGCTAACGATTGTACTAGACTTTGGAAAGGTATTTCATGCCACTAGATGACTGGTGTCGAATGCAGTGACATCCGCATGTGAATAAAGATGGGCTCCATGAGTACAAACTGGAAAAGGAATGGATTTGCAATGCCTGCCTCAGCACCTATTCTTTTCTTTCCTTCGATTTTTAATAATGACAATTGCCCATGTTTCAAAATGGTAATCTAAACTATGTGGGCAAAGTGCTGTGATAAGTGAGCCAGCAAAGTGTACCAGCAATGTAGGTGCCCGTTGTAAAGCAAAAACTCTCTGTGTAGTCTGCTTGATTAACAAATGTATATTTGTAGCCCTTTCACGCAATAGAATTGGAAGTTTGTTGTTTATTAAAAAGCATAATGTTTTAGGGGAAAACTGCCTTCCTGCATAGAAATAGAGAATAGCAAACGTTTATGGGTTTATGGATATCAAATAAAGATTTGAATTCCTTATATACTTGAGTGAGAGTATGTATGATACGGGGCACGGACTCAAAAACTACGAAGTTATTTTGCCTTCAGGTTTCTAAGCACTTAGTCTTTAATGCTGATGTTTTTTGGGACTGCATCTTAAAAGCTGATTGTTTTGCTTTGTTCCAGATAATGCAAGATACTAGGCATGTAATTCCCACTGATTCCAGTGGACAATTCAAATTCTAGGGATTTGTGCTTCTGGGCTGAAGGATTTAACGTGGAATGTCAAGGTACTGTCAGTCTTTGATGTCAGTCTGACTGATGCTGATTTTGGTTGAAGTTAGTCTTTCTGTTGCTATTAGGAGTAAAACTAGCATCATCTTGATTACCTGTGTAAGCTTAAATAAGCAGGGCAACCTTTTGGTATCGGGGTTTAAACCAAGATCTGTTTCTTCTTGAGTCTGATCATTTGTGTTTCTTACAGTGAAACCGGTTTGCTTTGGCTTTGCTTTTATAAATACGTTCCAAGGAACTTGCAGGTTGCAATTATATTGTTATATTTTTATCTTGAAAGCTTGTTTTGCTTCTGTGAACCAGTTATCACTGATAGGTTGTTGAAAATGCAAGTGGTTTCAGAGAATTGTTTGTAAAACACTGCAGGTGCCAGCTCTTGTCGGTGGGCAGCTTCAGGTGCTTGGTTTTATTTCAGTTCACTGGGCTTTTTACTTTACCTTTGGACTTTAAAACTATGTTGGACAGTCATCCTTGGACTTGAAGCATGTCTTGTTGTAGCTGAAGCGAACTGTGGAGTTCTAGGTCTTGTGTTGTTTTGGGCAAACCATTTGGTCCCTTGCAGTGGTGAATTGTTTTCACCTTATAAAGGGCGAGCTTGGTTTTGAATGAGATAGATGCACTTATGTGATGTGGCTTGTCATTAGACTTGGGAAGGTAAAGATTTGTCACCAGCTTTGTTATTCTCACGTGTTATATGCCATGAAAGAATATGTTGGTACTAGAAATAAGTAGGTTTTTAAAAAAATGGCTTTATGTGTAAAATCTGATAGTTTGGCCAAGCTATAGCTTGCGTTTGATAACTGTTGTACTGAAGCATGCTGTCTGATGTTCTGTCTGTATGTGATAATCCTCTTGTAGGACTAATGTCTTCCTGAATGCAAGTAGGTCCCAGAAATTGCACCTATGTTAGGCGGTTTGCTACCTAATTTCTCCCTCAAAAGATTGTTATCTGTTTAACAGTGTTGTGGTGAGTGCCTTGATTAGCTGGGACTTGCTGTGCTCTGACCTCTTGTGTCTTGGGAGCAAGAAGTTCTTTGTGACAATACAGGTAACATTGGAAAGGCTCATTAAATGCCTGTTAAGTAATGGCTAGAATGTACCATGGAATATATAAAGAGATACAGATTTATACTGGATAGCATTAAAGACACAGGGGCTTTAAGACTCAGTGGATATAAACCTGTTTCTAGTACAGTTCTTAATAAACAGAAGAGATTGCTGATAAAGCCTTGCTTACGTATTTAATGGTATTAAGTAACTTTCTGACCTCTGAGTGGATTTGTCTGCGTAGAGGTGCACAGGAAGAACTAAGGTGAAATAAAGTATATAGATGGCATGTAAATAAGTCTGGGACTGTGTACTAGGATGGTCGTGGAGGTAGAAATAATGTAATGTTAGTTGCTGTTTGGCAGTTTGTAGTTTAGTTTTGAAGTATGTGAAATGAGCTCAGTAATTTAATTACCTTCTGTTCAGGAATGAACGCTGGGTTGTGGTTTCACCTGGGAGAAATAGGAAGTGAGAGCAACTAATTTACTTTCAGCAGTTAATAATGAGAGTAGAAGTGCAGCAGTTTTCTTAAAGCACAGTTTTCCTTTTATAATCTGTGAGCAAGAGGAAATTCCCCAAACCAAAGCTTTTCAGAGACTGTATTATTGTAGTTTTATCTTGTGAGTTGTGATGCGCACAATTGTTTAACAGTAATGGGTGTTCATGTCTACTGTTAATTTGTTCTTGATTCTGCTCTTTGTGTGACTTGTAAATTTTATTTGGCTAATGAAACTAGCCTAACATCCAGTTTTAATCATCCCGATGACTACTGCATTACAAAGAAACATGCTGAACACACCTGTACATGTAGTGAATTGATACCAGTACAGATCAGTGGCTGCACCTCTCCCTTGTTTTAATGTTAGGGGATGAGAAGGTAGTTCAGAACAGCAGTAACAGCTCAAACAGCTTCAACCACAGTCAATCTCAGTGGGTCACTGTATTACAGTTGTGGCAGACTTGCAAAATAAGCTGTGCCTTACCCTGCAGGCTTGTGCGGACAGTCTTCACCCTTCAGAATTGAGCAAGCTGTAGGGTTTGTTTTGGGTGTTGAAATAGTTGTCAGTGGTGCAGCTGCAGTGCTGGCTCTACGAACAGGAGTTCAGACCTGCGGGAGGCTAGCGTGGTGTGAAGCAGCGGTGCTGACCGGAGCGGTGCTTGATCTGTGCTGTCAGACACTTTGTGTTTAGACTTCACCATCAGTGAAGCTGAAATACTGGAGATGGTTAAAGATGTAATTCAGGTCCTCAGATGCTTTATGGTGTTCTTCCTCCTCCCCCTTGGATCCCCTTCTCTAAAGCAAATTTTGCTTTCATTTAGCATTGCAAGACCTAAGTGCATAGTATAGGGCAGAACATTGGTTTATTATCCTGTCCCGTCAGCTGATGCTATTGTCACACTCTATTGGCATTCCTGTTGCTGCTGGAAAGGGTTTGAGCCCGAGTGGTGCTGGGGACCCCAACCTCCCCTTCAAGTCTGAAAATAGAGCAGATTCTTTGTAATACATACCTCAATGTTCTTCCTGAAATACAAGGTTGGTTTAAATTGTTAATCTCTGTAAATTAAAACTGAAGGGCACGTTCCTGATAGGCACACAATGCATGTGAATGTGGTGTGCTTTGTGAGAATGGGATTTGGCTCCTACAGTCTGTGAGATGCTGGTTTTCTATCAGAAGGCAGCTTATCCAAACTGTTTAAAAGGGGTTGTTTGTCCTGTTGTAGCTATTATGGATCAGTGTTTATCACATAACCAACAGTTTGTACCACATTTATGTGGCATGCCTTGTTATGGACCTCTAGTTCCTATGCAATTTAATATGAAGATGGCACTTCCAGTAAGTTTTTTCAGACACCTTGGATTAATATTAGGTGCTTGCAAGTGTAACCCCCCAAAATACACTCTCACCTTAGCCAGAGGTGTGATGTACAAAACGACAGGTTGTTTAATATTTGTGGCATAACTGATGCTGTGATCTGGTGTGTGCACCCCTTAAAGATGAGCTTTCTGCTTGTTACTTGTTTCTTATTTCTTAAATGAATAAAACAGTTCCATTCCTGCTTCTCTTGGAAAGGTGTTTCACAATGCAAGCACACTGCAAGGAGTTCAGAGCCAGCCTCAACAAGCACTATTTGCTTTTGTTAATGGGCTTTTCCTAGGTCTCATGTTGAAGCATTACTACTCTGTTTCTTCTGGTATGTGTGTGTGTGCGTGTATGTGCACACATACCTTCACTTCCATTTCAATGATCATTTATTTGTACTGTAACAAAAGTACTATAATTGATGGGTGTCAGATGTGAATTTCTTATACCGAGATGAAAGTCTCTGCTATATATCTTTACCTAGGAATTTTCTATCATTTACCTCTATCCTAGGACTTGGAAAGGGCTGATGGAGTTGGGTGCGTTCTTCCTTGATGTTCCTTTGACTAATCCTAGTCTTTCTGCCACCTTTTCTTCTAGAACTCCTCCTTTTCTGTTATATGTATCTATAAAGGGACGGAAATACATCATCACATTTGAACTGATACCTCTTTTTTCATATGGCTCCAAAACTTTTAATAATATCTATATTCCCCTTAAAAACATGGGAAAATAGGTAGTGAGAACACTGAAAGAGCAAGGGCTGCAAAGTTGTAGTTTGGTACAGAAGAAACATTCTTCAGATTCTTGTATTTCCCATAGTTCTCCTATATACTGAATAGTCTGAATAGTTGAAAAGATGGAACTCCTCAGATCTAGGCTGTAGCAAAAAAAAAGGCAGAAAAAATAAAGTTCAAGCACTGTTCTCTGCCCTTGATTTAACGTTTGCAGTAGGAGCCCTGAGCTAAAAGGTGCAACAGTGTTTTCCCAAGTACCTTCTCAGTGTCACTTGTTTTTTTGGTTAAAAGTCTGCTAGGCAAAGCTGTGGTGTTGCCTAGTGCTGTTACAGAGAGCATCAAGCTTAGAGCATGGGCTATTCTCAGATTGTCAGCCGTCCAAGTCACCAAAGCTCCTTAACTTTGAAAACTAGGTGTCAGGCCCAGTCAGACTAATAATGCCATCTGTGTGAGGCAGCTGGATATTAACCCTCTTAGCTTGATGCATACAGTTCCATTCCCGAATGCTTTCACAAATGGAAAATACACAGATTTGGAAGGAACAGCTCTTCCTCAAAAAAAAACCTCCATCAAAAATCCCAAACTCCACTTGCTATATATAGTTTTGATACATATTCCATTCATTAAACTACTATTAATAGTTACTCTCCATGTGTAATGCAGTAAGGAATTGATGCCAATTTAAAAAGGGATTTAGTTTCTCTCTGGAAATGTGTCAAGATGCGCATTTCCTCACTACCATCAAAGTACAAATCACTGATGAACATTGCAGAACAATTCCTTAGAAGCAGAAAGGGTCTGAAAATACTTCAGTTATTCAAATGCTACTGTATAGCATGGATTTCCCAAGTAGTTTGTCTCGCAGAAACCCTGTTTTCATTGGGAATGCTGTTTTGAAGTGAAAGACATCTGAAAATATGGTGTTAGTCTGTAACCTAGACAATAGAAAGGATAGATGTCATCTCAGTCTCTTCTTTGTTTCTGTAAGTCTTGCTTTCTGTTCATTTACAATGGGCTTTTGCTCTCCACAAGATGCTGAAGGGAGCACAGTCACTGCAGGCACTGTCTGGGAAGAAGGAAGATCAGGAGTCCAGTCCCTGTTT